CATTTTTTGGAGTCGTCTAAGGTTGTTTGGAGGATTTTTTTGGGGGTACAATGGCCTTTTTTTTCTCAGGTTCTGTTGTTTTTATTACTATTTGTTAAAACTTAGTGATTGATGTTCTAGTTAGTCTTTTTGGTGTTTATTTGTTTTTTTTTCATTGACGGTTTCTTAAAGGGGTGCTTAGATATGATTGGGTTGTATTTTTAATCTTATAGTTTTATACATGTCTGAAATTAATTTAATTTGCTAATCTTTTCTTGAAGTTACAAAAGTTGCTTTTATTTATATTAATGTAGATATTATTTCAAACGTTAAAAATATCAGATTAAAAATGAAACCATTAATTCTTTAGAAATATGGATACCCATGTTTGAGTCAATGCCCTGGCTTTTTACGTGCATTTGAGACATAAAAAAGGGTAATGTGTTCCCCAGGAATGTTCGAACATGCGTGTTTCTTTGTAGGAGAAACCAGCGTCTATTTCGGCGTACTTTTAGACGGCTCCACAGACCAGCAAAGTTCAATTAAAAAAATTCACATTCTTTCGTTTAGTCTTCTCAAAAGTCCATATCTGCTCATTTCTTCGTATCTGAAACGTAAAGTAATTTCCAAGGAATCGATGGATTTTTTTTAGTATTTTGTAGATACCCATATTTAAGACGGTGGTTTTTCTTAAACACGATTAAAATAACATTTGTAGTAGGAAAATGTCGAATGAAAAATCGATTGATATATATATATATATATATATATATATATATATATATATATATATATACATTCATTTCATATATATATATATATATATATATATATATATATATATATATATATATATATATATACGCCCCGAAAAAATAAAATTCATTCCAGCACTGTTTTAGGGGAAAGCGCGAATTTGTAAACAGTGACAGCTACTGCTGATAATGCAACGTTCTTCTTTGAAACGAGAACTCTGAGTCACTGGTGTGTTTATTCAAAATAAGTACGTAAAAATTCACTTTCATCTCTCTCTCTCTCTCTCTCTCTCTCTCTCTATATATATATATATATATATATATATATATATATATATATATATATATATATATATATATATATATAAAATTTCAGATAGGATATATCTGTAAGAGAACGATATAATAAAGACAAAAAGGAAAACCTATCTTAGCTGATGCGTTTCGTTCTCTGATATTTGCTTTGATAAAGTCCGAAACGCGTCGGCTAGATAAGTTTTCCTTTTGTCTTTTATTCATATATATATATATATATATATATATATATATATATATATATATATATATATATATATATGCATGTTTAAACAAATTTTGTTAAATTCGACCGACAATGTGTTTAAATCATTTGTTGTATTTCCAGTTTTCGAATCCGATTTGTATATCCAAATAAAAATGGGGAATAAATTATCCAAAGTTCATGTTTTGTTTAGTTTTGTTTTAGTACTTTCGATCTTTTTTTCCGTCAATCTCAAGAACTGGATATTTGTCAGTATAGTTGACAAGAATTAAGTAAATTATATATATATATATATATATATATATATATATATATATATATATATATATATACAAGTATAGGATCAGTGTAAACGGAATAGATTTCAATAACCATCAAATACTATTCTTAAAAGAGTGCTCAATACAGAGTAGAGCAAACATAATTATTTATTCGAAAATAAACATAAATATGTTATAAAATCACTACAAAAATAGCCATTTTGTTTCAACACTTCTGGTGTCTTATCAAGTGATGGTGTTGAATGTAGAATTAAGGGTTTTAAAAACCCTTTATTCTATAATCAACACCATCACTTTGCAATACAACATCCTTAATTGGATCATAGCTGACATTAAGCGAATGGATGTTAAAACGAGAAAGCTTCTCACTTGTCACCGGATGCATCATCGATCGTTTCTATGTGTCCAGACCAGGAGGAGGTTGCAGATTAGTTCAATTAGAACTGTCTTACAAAATCTCAACTATCGTTCTTCAAAGACACCTGGAAACTACAGAAGACTAGATGATGATCTGCATCAAAAAACATGAAAGAAATAAGAAACTGTATTCAGTAATAAAGGAAGCCAACAAATTCAAAAGGGAATTTCAAGTGGGTGAAGAAATGCAAATAAGCCATAATACGCTAAAAAAAGAAAGCAAATGTAATGTACAAAATGTAGAAACGATGGCAATATAAATCTCTTCATAGTCAATACTCTGCCCGTACCAAACAAGCTGAAAAACAGCGTAGTCATCAGTGGTTAGATAGTGCAGGGTTAAAAGCTGAAACTGAAGGATTTATTCTGGCTGCAGAAGACCAATGCTTGCTAACTAGAAATTACCAAGCACATGAAAAATTGTTTTGACCCCAAATGCAGATTCTGTGATAAATATCCAGAAACAATTGACCATCTTGTATCAGGTTTCACGGTCTTAACAACCACCGAATATAAAAGTCGACGTGATAGAGTGAGACAATATATGCACTGGAAAATATGCAACGTTTACGGGAAGAAAGCTGTAAGAAATTGGTATGAACATCACCCAGAATCGGTTACAGACATAGGACCTGTAACAATTTTATGGAATTTACAATACACACTGACAGAACAATGAAAGCTAATTGCACAGACATCGTAATCAAAGACTACAAAAACAGAATGTGCTTTCTTATTGACATCGCAGTCCCTGTAGATTGTAATATATCTTTGAAGATCTTAAAAAAACCTATTAAAATGCAAGGATCTTGAAGCGGAATTCTCAACAATGCGCCACATGAGAACATTAATAATTTCAGTTGTAGTTGGAGCCCTCGGATTGATTGGAAAAGGGTTCGATAGACACATTGGAGGAATTCCTGGTCGCCCATGCCTTAAAGAAATACAAAAAAATTCTATTCACAAATACAACTCATACATTACGAAGAGCTCTATGTAAAATGTGTGTAATTTTATATTTTTTTGCATAAATGAACAGTGGATAATGTCATGATGCCATTTCTGACCTTAGGTCTCTGGTTGGGACCCGGAAGCAAATGTGTATACAGCAGAAATCCAACGAAATAATAATAATAATAATATGCATGTACGTTCTCAGATATTCATAGAATGCTGCACATATTTTGAATATTTTATGTTTTTATTTAATTTTCCTCCTGTGGCAATATTTTATTTTTTCAATGTCTCCATTTACTCTGTTTACGCATTTTAACTCTACATAACTTTTACACGGATTTTGATGAAAGTTTAAATTACCAAAATCATTTAAATGAAATCATATGATTCAGAAAAAATGACGCTTGGTATGTCAGCTATCTATCCAACCAAATGTACCAATCATAATCTCTTTACCTGCGGTCTCTTGAAGGTTCTGGTTGAAACTTGGAAGCAGCTCGTAAAACAAACAAGCAGATCAAAAATAATAATAATTAAACACCTGTCTTCAGATAAATATGGCTGCCGCAGCCAAGAACCCCCCCAAAAAAAAAAAAAAAAACAAAAAACAACACATCTTTGAAAACGTTGGAGAAACTAACTTAATACAAGGATTTCAAGATAGAAATCAGTAGAATGCTGCATCTCAAGGCAACAACATTACCTGTTGTTATTGTAGCTTTGGGAATGATATCAAAAGGAGCAATCAAATATGTGTAACAAATTCCTGCTATCTCTAAAATATGTGAGTTGCAAAAAATCATACTCATAGTTAATTCTCACATCTTGCGTAACTTTCTCGACATGTGATGATAACAATTACATTTTCTTTCTCACTGATTGCATGGCACTTCATCTGATTGCAAAAAAAAACTTGTCTCTTGGAGTCTCTGTTTGGGATATGGGGGTAACTTGTAATACACAAAAGAAGGCAAAACACAAAAACAACAACAACAACAACAACAACAACAACAATAAAAATAATAATAATAATTTTATTACAGTAAACGTGTACAGCCCACGCCTTACGAAGGGCTTTATCTGTGTAAAATATATATATATATATGTGTGTGTGTGTGTGTGTGTGTGTGTGTTTAATTGGTCAATGGAAAATGTCATGATGCCATTTCTGACCTTAGGATCCAGAAAGAAATGAGTACATACCAGAAATCAAAGGAAATATAATAATAATAATAATAATAATAATAATAATAACTAGTTTCAACCCATGAAAATTTCACTGTTTTCCTATTTGAAATTTCTGATCAATTTTAATTTTTAAGTTAATGATTGAATAAGCTGATGGTGAGTTCTACGACTATAAAATCCCCATCGCATCGTTAAATATTTGAGCATAACAATTTTAACAAAATATTGCAATAACAATCATAAATTTGAATGCTGCTTATTTTAAGAAGTAAAAGGGTACAAATGAAAAAAAAAATTGGAATTGATAACTTTTTCCATTTCACTGAAACAGCCGTTAAACACTTCTATCGTTCTGTCCTTTATTCGCACTGAAACCAAATAGCGTCTCTGTTAAGTCTGTCTTTTCACCGATCAAAATGGTCCATTATTTATGAGGTATTGGCAGGACGTAACGGTCGTGCGTACTAACGAAGAGAGGGACAAGAAGCACAATTTTAATAGGATAGGGAAGCATTGCAACTAAAATATTTACGTATTTCCATCTGGTGCCAAAGATCGGTGTCCAGATATAAAATTAGGATTTATGATGTCGATTCTTAAGGCAGACAAACAATTACCTAATTGATCCAGTACCAAACTAAGGTAGGCTTGATGTTGAGCATTAATAATAAATGTATTAACGAAAAAGGATTTGTTGTCACTTGATCTTCAGTCGTTTCTACCAGTTAATTAGGTGGCGGGCGGAAGATGCAAATAAATAAAAGTTAGTAGAAAAGCCCTTTTAAACTTAAAAAAAACGTTAAAAAAGCAGATGTTTAGTTTGGCGTAATTATGTTTTCTTATATTAATATTGGTCTTTTTTTTGTTTGTTTATTCGGTCTTATTGCCTTCTCTCTCTTTCCTTCAGTTTCTTTGTTTCTCCCTCTGTGCGAAACAAAGAGAGAGCAAAAGAGAGAGAGAGAGAGCAAAAGAAAGAGAAAGAGAAAGAAAGAGAAAGAGAAAGAGAAAGAGAAAAAGACATAGAGAGGGGGAGAGGGAAAAAAGACATATAGAGAGGGGAGAGAGAGAAAAAGACAGAGAGAGAGAGAGAGAGAGAGGGGGGGATAAAGAGAAAGGAAGTCGGAGAGAGTCAATGTGTTTACGGTAAAGGGAGGGACTATTGTCGTAATAGTCGCGCGTACGGACGAATCAGGTTTTACTTTACCCTGAAATAATCTCTATACAACCAACCAAACAAGAGAAGAGAACTACTGACACTGATAGCGTTAGTGGCAACTAGAATATAGTGGGGTGGGAGGATAGCGGAAAGAAAGGGAAAAAGAGACGGAGATAAATATATTGAGAGAGAGAGTGTGTGTGAAAGAGAGAGAGAGAGAGGGGAGAGGGGAGAGGGAGGAGGACGTCGACACGTGTGAAATGAGAGAAAGTAAATCAAATAGACGGAGTGTGGCGGGAGAAAGAAAAGAAAGAAAGCAAAAGAAGGAAAAGAGATATTTAAAAGGGAATTGATGACTATACTGAAAAGTGAAGAAGGAGGAGCATACGTCTTAACATTTACGTAGTGGGAGTGACAGTTAATCGAAAAAGAGGGGGGAATGAAAGAATTAAAAAAAAACAACAAAGAAAATTTAAGAGAGAGAAAAGGGAGAAAGAGTGCGGAAGAGTAGAGAAAAGAACTTTTTGTGAGAGGAGGAGAAATTCTAAATTCAAGCTACTTGACGTCTGTCTGTTTGTCTAAATGTGTTTTTGATACTGTCGGACGAACAAGTTGGATTTGGAAGCTCCAAGAAGTTTCTGCCAAGTCTAAGACGATTCTAAAATGGGTGACGTATGCTGTGCAGTGTGTTGAGCGGCCCATAACACAAATTACGCACAGATACACAGACATTTCAGACATATGGTATCAGACACAAGTTCAGTTATAACTGACAGAAATAATAATTGAAATTATATATATTTTTTAATTTCATAGACAATAAATTAATAACGTTAATATTATACTATAAGATAACAGAAACGACATTTAATCATTATGTATAACAGAAAATAAAATATATATATATATATATATTCGTGTAAAAATATTCATTATCATAATTATATGGTTTTATAACTAAACCTTCTTTGCAATAGGCAGAAGCATATCAAAAGATGCGTGTCGGCCTCTCTACGCATGCGTGTGTGTTCGTGCGTCGGGGCCTTGTGGCGCAAATTTGGATCACTTAAATAACCAGCTGATTTGGATTAAGGAAAAAAATAAAATGCGAATAATTCATTTATATCTCTTTGTTTAAAAAAAACAAAAAAACAAAAAAAAAAAAAACAAAACAAAAAAAACAAACAAACAAAAAACAAAAACAAAAAAACAAAAAACGAAAACAAAAACAAAAAAAAAACTAAAAACAAAAACGGAGTTATAATTGCTTCATTCATTGGATATTTATTTCCAAATCTATTTTATAAGCGAGGACTTACAAGAATACAGGAAGAAAAGTATTTTATTTTGGGAACATCTGGAGTTATTTACCGTGAAGAAACATTTGTATAGGATAAAAAGAGAAAAAAAACAATCGCGTGTCTTTAAAAAAACAAAACAAAAACAGTAATAAATAAATAGACACTGCCATTTATAAAAGGAACAAATAAAAATGGGGAATTTTGATTAAAATTAATGCACTGCACATCAGTTTTGCTTTACAATCAAGGAGTTTTCACATGGAAATAACTTTCTTTCGGAAAATCACAAACACAGGCTTTTTTGCTTTTTTTAAATAACAGCAACAATAATTTCCTTCCGAAAGAATTGGATGAACGTATTTTTTTAATTTATTTATCCGATTTTGATAAGGAACACTAATGATAGAACATGTGAAGGAATATGCCTAGGGGAAATAGCAGACGACAAGGAAGTACGTAATTAAAAAAAAAACAAGCAAGCAAGTGCTGTGTATTTTCACTTAAAAAAAATATTGCCTGGATTTTTTTTTAAACAACTCAATATACTTCAGACATCGGTGGTATAACCCCCCCCCCCCAAGCAAAGAATATACCAAGTTATTATTTATTTAAAAACGTCATTTAGAATTTAGTTAAAACAAAAAACAACTGAATTTTTAGTGCCGTGAAAAAAATACTTTTAAAAACATCTCTACTACACTACTAATAATAATGATGATGATGATGATGTCAAAAACCAAGACTGAAAATAAATTGATTGCCGTTTAAATTTCTATATAATTAACACTGAAGATATTTAGAATTAATTTATTTAAATCTAGACAATTAAATTTAAAGTTTTCTTAATTTTGTCTATTGCTCCCGTGTTGTTATTTTTAAAACAGCACAAAATGCTATGTAAACATTCGTTTAACCTTAGAGAAACATGTTTTTTCTTTGCTTTTTAGAAGAAAGTCGATTTTTATAAGTACATAAACTGATAAGTATTTAAATTTAATCGATTTCATTTTCAAAACGAAAGAATTTCGGAATTAAATTTTACAACAGTAAATCTTGATGTATAAGTGAGAAATAAATTCATATTTGAATTTTTGTATCTATTTGAATTTTGAATATTGGATAATGTCAAGCATTTTTCATATATATAATTTTTTTTTTCAAATCTTCTAAGTTTTTAGGTATTATGTTAATTATTATAAAAAGAACTGGAGGAAACGCAATAAATATAATTCAATTAATACAGAATTAATATAAATATTGATAATAATATTTAAGAAGTTCATCTGATATAAGATTATCTTACTAATTAAAGAAATATTTTATAATTTGTATACAAATTGATTGACGAGCAAAGTGACATTACTAAAAGATAAAACCTTTTCGCGCATAACGAATCCAAGGAAACGCTTGTTGACACGAAATAAGAAATATTTAAGCGAGTTTAACATGTGTTACTATTATTATAGATAATTATTATAGATAATAATTACAATAATAGATAATGCAGAATAATTAGAGCTTATAAAAATTTAATATTCGGATGTTGTATTAACGGAGAAAGATCAAGAGGTAACTAAATACATTCCGATACAATGAAACATATGACATCAACATAACGACACACATACATATATATATATATATGTATATATATATATATATATATATATATGTATATACCTTAAAAATCATACATGCAAATAGATAGACAGATAAAATATAAATAGTTACGCACATATACATACACTGATAGATAAAAATAAAATGGCTGAGATAGATAGATAGATAGATAGATAGATAGATGGGTATAGATATAGATATATAGATAGAAATAAACAGTTTTCAGTAGATAGATAGATACATCAGAATAATATATATATATATATATATATATATATATATATATATATATATATATATATATATAGATAGATAGATAGATAGATAGATAGATAGATAGATATAAATAAATAAATAAATAAGTAAATAAATAAAATGACTGATTGATAAATGTTGACTGACTGGGACAGGGTGACGATGGTCACATGTATTAGTGGACGCACATTTGTTTTTACATTAACGTGAAGTTTCAAAAAATTTAATTTTTTGCAGACCCTAGATGATATCAGTCTATATACATACATACATACATATATATATATATAGACAGATACATGTATGTATACAAACATATAACTACAAAACATAGTGTTTAAATACATGTAAATACGTGCATTTTAACTATACATATAGAAACAATTGCTCAGAAAATGTTTTTGGGCAGTTGTGTTAGTTGTTTACCGGCTTCGGCTGCTTCCATAAACTATTGGGCAACTCTGTCCCCACATCATTGTATTCCCGCTTCGGATTTTGCGACAGTTTCCGGCTACGGTATAAAGAAACCGGCTTCGTTTCGCATAACGGAAATTTTGCATCACCAGCAACAACAACAACTGCACCAGTCACATCATCAAAGCAACAACAATAACAACAGCAACGAAGACAGCCAACACAGAATTAATGGTGGGTCACCCCCTACTGGTCACCCAACTCTCGGTGCAAGCACTAACAGATCCAATCATGGGCTTGGACAATCGTCATCATTATCATCATCATCTTCTTCATCTTCATCATCGTCGTCGTCATCGTCGTCTTCCTCTTCATCCTCGTCCTCCTCATCAAACAAAGGAAACGGGGGAGAGACTGGGTCACTAGGGGACAATATACTGGTCAACGCTGGCAGTGTGACCAGTGCCGGGCGGTGTTACTCCCCGGGTATACCCAGTAAAAACAGCCCCCCCTCGGCTGGGGGGATAGGACCTTTGCAAGCACTTTGTTCAGTTGGGGCCTTTTCACGTGTGGTCGGCCATGGGGTTAATCCGAACTCAAGCAATATGCCGACTGACCTCTCCCTAGAGGGAATGTCTCATCGAAATGGCAGCATAAGTTCTTCAACGTCTACATCTGCGAATACATTGTCGGGTAATTCCTTAAAATTTGGAATCAACAGAATTTTATCGGAGGATTTTGGTAAACATAAACTCGACAAAGGTAAGGATTTTTTTGATTGATATTGAATGATTCACATTGCAGTGATTTCATCGTAATGCACATCAGGGTCTATTCTTCAAGTAAACGTGTTCGAATTGTATATATATATATATATATATATATATATATATATATATATATATATGTTTTGAACAATAAAAAATATTAAAAAATCAAAATCTTCAGAATACACTGTGTTGTATATTAATATTCTTTCGTTTTTATAATTTCAATTATTCCTCAACTAATTTCGGCCATCATGGCCATCATCAGGAGAAAAAAAAATCTGCTTGTTAGTAGCAATGAACTACAGAAATGAAGCAACCTTTCTTTCAAACATGTTTCATTGAATATGACAAAGAAGGAAAATTTATTTATTTTAGGATATTACGACAAAAACATGTAAGGATCGCTGCACGATTGCAGTCGTGTTTCAACACATGCGTCTCTTCAGGCGATTGTAAATTATTGGAGAGTGAACGTTTAATTTAATTTCAAATGCAAAATACATCCTCATTTTTTAAAAAAATTATAAAAAAAAAATAAAGGCTTGAGGGCTTTACCCTGGTCAACCAATCGAATATGATCTACGTTAAATTCAAACTAAGCGAAAAAGAAAAAAATAGAAATTCTTATCTTACAAATGTGTCAAGGCAAAGATTTGACATCTAACAGCAGCCAGAAATTAACTTAAAGACTGATAGAAATAGCTGCAATAAATGTACACATATCAAACAGTCAACTCTCTTTTTCGCTTAGTTTGAATTTAACGTAGGTCATATTCGATTGTGCTTAAGAAACTGGTAGTTGTGACCGGTCAAACGAACACCTGACTTTGTTATATAAAATATAATGCGCTGTGTATTGAGCAATTTGTCTTGGTGGATCATTTTTTATATAATCCTTTCTTTCGATCCAAAGTGAAGGCAAAAGCAATAAATAGCAACACTTTTAATTCATTTTCTCGACACAATCAATCCATCGTCTAGCATAAACTCCGCTTATTTAATTCAGAGACTAAAAAACAGATATAAAAAATATAAGAATAATGGCGAGTTTAGATGTGAAGTATTATATATCTGTCAAAATGATTTGAGCCATCTCACTGAATCTAAAGAAAAATTACCATTACCAGTCAACAAAATCAAATATTTATATATATATATATATATATATATATATGTGTGTGTGTGTGTGTGTGTGTGTGTGTGTGTGTGTGCGTGTGTGTGTGTGTGTGTGTGAACTAATCACACACTCACAAGAAGGATGTATAATAATATCGGAATATATAAAAGTATTATGTATATTTTTAATATATTAAATAGGTCTGTTATTTAACATTGAGCACTATTTTTCTATCACTATAGAGCACACACTCACACACACACACACACACACACACACATATATATATATATATATATATATATATATATATATATATATATATATTTCTTCTGGCATAAAAGTCCGGTGGTATATAAGGTAATTATCTTATTAATGCAAGTTACTGGCTACCTGAAGATTGTGTGCAAAACACATCAAACTTTAAGTAGTGGCCAGTCATTGCCTACCTGGTTATTGAATTGATATATATATATATATATATATATATATATATATATATATATATATATATATATATATAAGATGACAATATATAAATTTTTACATGCCAGGAACAATTTTAGGTGAAAGATGTATGACAAAGTAGAAAAAGTCTGTCTATATTTCTGAGATGAGGTATTATGTACATTATTTACATTATTCGGACTATTGTCCTCATCTTTGTCGCCATATTTATCACAAAGTTTCGGCCGTTGTACGCTCCGAACGGCCGAAACGTTGTGATAAATATGGCGACAAAGATGAGGACAATAGTCCGAATAATGTAAATAAAGTAGAAAAGGTTTTTGTCTGACGCGTTTCATCCTTTACTTTGTTTACATTGATGCGATTACGCATGCGCACGAACTAGCGACGCTGGGAATTTTAAATTTAAAGATGATATTTTTAATTTGTGTTTTGGGTCTATAATCTAGCCGATTTCATTTAGATTTTTTTTCTTTTTGTCTCCATCACTTTGGTCATTAAATATTCCATATTGTGATAACAGAAAATCTGACAAGAATGGCAAAATTTTGTAAGAATCTGGACGCAAATTTACTATATACCTGTGTGTGTACAATACATACATATTCGAAACATACACAGTCTTTCCAGCCATGTAAAAAGCATCTCCCTTCACAAAAAAAAAAAAAAAATTCCACTGCGTACAATTTCCGTGTGTTTCATAGCCCGATATTTGGTTTTCGATACGAGATGACTACCCAAAGATTCCTGCTTGCCATAAACATGGCTATTAATGATTAAAAAGAAAAAAAAATCATTATAATGTTGTCAACTTTATTTATTTTTGAAAAAATGTTACTTTCCAAATTATAAGTATGGTTGCTGTGTGTAATATGGCGGGAAATACAGTATTATTCGCGGGTTTTAATTCTGGCGGAAAAGTTACTCTATGTTTACATGCGTACATGAGCACATATGTATACATATATATATATATATATATATATATATATATATTTTTTCTATGTGCCCTGTCCCTTCAGGACGTAAGCGATCATGGCTCTCCATGATTTCCTGTCCTTTGTAACTCTTAATAAATTTTGTCTTTTTGTAATTTCTTCTAAACCTTGTTTCGCTATCCATTTTTACTCAAGCTCACTATGTATGTTATGCATTGTTTTCCACTGTCCTATGAGTATCAGATTTTCCAAGCTCTCTTTCCTCATTATGTGACCTAGAAACCTCAACTGTCTTTTCCTAATGTTAAGTATAAATTTCCTTTTTGTTTCCATTTTCTCTAAAACTTTGTCGTTGCTCACATATTCGGTCATTGGTATATCAGCAACATTCAGTAGAACCACATTTCTGTTGCTTCAAGTCTCTTCTTCATATGTGAGGAAATTGTCCAGCATTCACCGTCATATAGGAGGACTGATATTATGTAACAGTTTAGTACTCTTTTCTTTGTTTTTAACGAAATTATCCTGTTACTTTGCTTATCTTTTGGAAGGCATCTTTTGCTGTTCCAATGCGCCTTCGGATTTTACTGTCACGCTTTCCGCCCTCTGTTAAAACACTTCCCAGATATTTAAATTGTTGTACTTGTTTGATTCTGGGATCTCCAATTTGTAATTTGCATGTTTGGCTTTTCCTTTTGCTAACAACCATGCATTCTATCTTCACACTTTCCTTCATTATCTTCTGAAAGAGTTCTTGTAGTTTCCTTTCTATGCCTGCTGTCAACAATGTGCCATCTGCATATCTTATGTTGTTTAGATTATGGCTGCCAATAATGAATCCTGGTAGGACTTCTAATTCTCTCAGAATCGCCGGTGAGAAGTCCGGTGAGAAGACTCATCCTTGTCTTACACCCCTTTCTATTTTTGTATATCTACTGAACTCACTTTCTATACATATGCATGCGGTTTGATGCCAGTATAGGTTCTTTAAATATGATATCATAATATTTGTATGTATCTATAGACATTCTTTACATATATTACGTATGAATATATATATATATATATATATATATATATATATATATATATATAACATGCACATTCTTATTTATAGGTATACATATATATGCATGCAAGCACACACACACACACACATACATACATACATACATACATACATATATATATATATATATTGTAAATTTCTTTCGATAGAAAATTACTTTATAAAATTCCAGTAATTTTTTTTGGAATCTAGTTTCAGTTTCCGGAATTTACTACTATCCTCAAGAATAGATAGCATCTTGCCAACATAGTCGGAGTGGTTGAGGTGTTTAGTAATTTCGAGGTCCTCTTTTCTCAATTATTAAAGCACCATCCTAACTCTGAGGACCATTTGCTTCGCCTTAAAGCCCAGTTAAAGGACTTGGCATACGGCATTGTAGACGCAAATATTAACTCCTCTGGGTTTGTGTGGCAGAGGAGGCATTTTCAGACAGTTAGGTCATTAAAAACCAACCCAGACATCTATATTACCAAGCCCGACAAAGGTGCCGGAGTCGTTATATTGAACCACTCCGACTATATATATATATATATATATATATATATATATATATATATATATATATATATATATATATATTTTTTTTAAGCATTTCACCCCAAGCAAGGCGTGAAGCCACTAGGACGCAAGGGGTTACAGAAAATTTAGAGCAAGATCAGATAGGAGTGATAGAAGAAAGGATGAGAGTAGTGGATAGATCAAGGTAACTGGAGATGTCGATTGACATTACACTTGAATAGCTGGAGATTATAGCTCACAGGGAAACAGGAAAAGGGAAGGGAGT